CGATTGCTCCTGAACCATCTAATCCAACAAATGCTCCCGGAACCGGCGGAACAACAATTGCTCCTGAACCATCTAATCCAACTAATGCTCCCGGAACCAGCGGAACAACGATTGCTCCTGAGCCATCTAATCCAACTAATGCTCCCGGAACCGGCGGAACAACAATTGCTCCTGAGCCATCTAATCCGACTAATGCTCCCGGAACCGGCGGAACAACAATTGCTCCTGAGCCATCTAATCCGACTAATGCTCCCGGAACCGGCGGAACAACAATTGCCCCTGAACCATCTAATCCGACTAATACTCCCGGAACCGGCGGAACAACGATTGCTCCTGAACCATCTAATCCAACTAATGCTCCCGGAACCGGCGGAACAACCGTTGCTCCTGAGCCCAGCGGACCAACAAATGCTCCCGGAACAACAACAACAACAACGGATGCTCCCGGAACTGGATCGACCACCCCGGAACCTGACATAAAGTGCGCAACAACTGGATTCATGCCCAAAACTGGAAACTGTTATCAATTCGTATATTGCTATGAGGACAACGAGGGTGATCTACACCCGATAATCCAAAAGTGCATCAATGGGCAGCAGTTTGATCCGGGCTGCGGATTCTGTAGGTCAAACTACGACTGCACCAAGCCTTCACCTAATGGTGAATGCATTGTCGAGCAGGAGAAATAAGTGCAGAATTTGAATGATGAAATAAATATCCCACTGTGTGTACTATTAAGCAATGCATAACTATAGCAACATATATTTTTTTTCAATCGTTGTGGAATTTTTTTTGTATGTTTTTTTTTTTTTTTGTTCAAATGAATAAACTTTAGTCTAATTGATGTTAATTGATTGGAGAAGATATATGCGAAATCAGTAATCGATTCGCCTTTAATAGAAAATACTCAAGTGACCACGATAAGAGGGCGTTTTAATTTTAAAATTCCGCCTAACTGACTGTCTGCCGTATCTTATCGATGGCACTTGATGAGCTCTTTCGATATTCAAGTCCAAATTTGGACAACGAAATGACGAGCTACTGCAATGAGCGCCACGTAGCCATTCGTACCAGATTGTGGGGAACATTACTTTATTAGCCCTACGATAAATCAGACAGTGTCACGAATGATCCGCTCTTATCTCTCTGCATAGTTACGAATAGCTGAGCCAGAGCTGGCCGGCAGAGTCTGCCTGAATTCCATTTGGCTGCAATCGCTTTGTAATATCTGATTAAGCATATAGTTTCGATAGTCAATTCCAGTGAATCACATCGAAGTCAACATCCTGTATTATGATTCGAAATAGTCAATAGCTGCGATTGATAAGGAAATTTATTTTAAATGCGAACAATTCTATATATAAGCTCAGAGCTCATCGAACATGATATATGATGATAGGGCTTTGTCAATATTTAGTTAATAGTCAGAGGGATGAGGTCTATGGGTAACTTCTATTCAGCTTATTATCAAAAAAAGTTCATTAGGAAAGATATTGCTCGGCCGTGAATGCCATGATTTGATTTTGTTTCACTAAATATTCCTAGGGGGAGTCTAGCCTAGGAGCCTAATGCTATCGATTCCTGTTCATGCTGTGCCCACTCCGAACTGCTCTAGAAGTGCTAGGTATAACGATGCAGATAATTGCGCATAATAAAAATTCTAATCTCGACGGAGAAATGCCTTCCTGATAAGTGAAGTGCTTGGGGAGATGGAGTAACACATTATCTGTAATATTGTTGTGATAGAGAAACCATTCAAGAAAAAGTACGTCTGATTAGGAGTGACTGTAGAGGAGTAGCGGATGAGGGGAGTGGTAGAGAAGTGTGAATCTGGCAATGAGCACAATAAATATGCAAGTAAATCGCACGGCGGCCACAACTCGATGAATTCTCAAATGAGTGAAAGTCGCCGGCGCCACAACGATTGCATAAGCCGGGTGAGGGAAGAGCGCGGGGGCATAGATAGAGGGAGGCAGATGAAGACGAAGCGGGAACCGTCGCTTGGTTGGACAATTGCGCATGCGCGTAACTCGTTAAAATGATTTCCAACGCTGGCGACAATTAAACGCAGGCCGAGCCAGACTCGATCCACTTCAATCCCAGGCCGGCAGTCGTCAGTCGTCAGTTGGCTGATGTCTTCAAATGCAAAAATGATTCCGGCACTTTTGCATTGGTCGCAGTCCAGGCACGTCGCTGTCCGTCTGTCGAGTTGTCATGTTGATGATAAGCGTTAGAGCAATGAGACGAGCTACGTGCAACGCACGGGCCAGCCAACGCTGTGCCATTTGGCCCTAAACGATGCTCATATACGCTCATGGCGCAAATGTAACTCTTGGCCATTATTAACAAACATTAACAGCAACAGCAACAACAGCAACAGCTAGCTAACTGCTGCAGTTGCTGCGGCTGATGCGAGTCTTGTCTCAAACAGTGATGAGACTTGTTTCTCGCTTTCTTCTGGGCAGGTGTTGCGTCGCTGCTGACCCAGCAAACAGCTAAACAGCACTAAACAAATCACAAACATTTCGTGCGAACCTTTCTTTTATTATCATCATATTTTTTGGGGGCCACAGAAACTGCGCCCAAAACTTGGTTGTTGTTGTTGTTGTTGTTGCTGTGGGGGCACAGTAAAGATAAATGGCAAGATACAATTGTATCTTTATTTGAATGTTGCTCATACTCGCACTTCTTATGTAATTTGCGCATTTACACATTATTTTTTATTTGTTTATACGTATATATACATAGACATATACATATATATTTACTCATTTTCTTTCATCTTGTCGCCGCTGTTGCCCAAGCATCAATGCGGGCAAGAAGCAGATGAAGAAGCAGCTGAGAGCTGGGCTGTTAGCCCAGATCAGCATTCAAATGTTGTGCGCAAATTATGCGATCCGCACCACCAGGCAAACGAAATCGACAACAATTCCAGCCGTTTGTTTCAACAGAAATTTTGCCAGCCATTACGTCGGAGCTATTTTTGGGTATTTGCCGGAGTCCAATCGGGGTTATCAGTACTCACTTTGTTTCAGTGTGGCAAAATGAAGGGCTAGATCTCGAGAGGAAGTTGGAAGTATCTCAACTGAGAAAGTCCGTGGTACGAGCGGAGGAATGGAAAGCCAGTGGATAGACGGAAGCCTGGCCGGACGGATAGACGGACAGATAGACGGGCAGATAGACGGACAGACAGACAGACAGACGGACAGACGGACAGATGGACAGACAGACGGTCAGACAGACCGACAGACGGACAGAGAGACGGACAGATGGACAAACAGACAGACGAACAGATGGAGAGAAGAACATACAGACGGACAGATAGACGGACAGACAGAAAGACAGACGGACAGACAGACGGAAAGACGGACAGAAAGACGGACAGACAGACGGACAGACAGGTGGACAGACAGACAGACATACATACAGACTGACAGACAGAAGAACATACAGACGGACAGATAGACGGACAGACAGACAGAAAGACGGACAGACAGAAGGACAGATGGGCAGACGGAGAGACGAATGGAAGGGCGGTGGACAGACGGACATACAGACGGATAGACAGACAGACAGACAGACAGACAGTCGGACGGGCAGATGGACAGAAGAACATACAGACAGACAGACAGTCGGACGGGCAGATGGACAGAAGAACATACGGACAGACAGACGAATGGAAGGGCGGTGGACAGACGGACATACAGACGGATGAACAGCAAGACGAAACTAGCACAAAGCCAACATACTCGTTTCACTTGATGAAACGTCATAATTTCCATGTTGCTGTTGAGCCCAATAGACGTGTGAACGACGCTCTAGTTCTTATCTGAATGCTAGCCAAGATCTGTTCGCAAAGTTTGCCATAATGACGTCACAGAGTTATCCAATGTTGAGAAACTGATTTGGATCTGGCTCAACTAAACTGCAACAATATTTACCAAGTACAAACTGTGCACCAAATTTGTTCTTGTTGCCTGGAGATATTCTACAATGAGCAGCGTCGAATGATCGTAGTGCTCTTCATGTATTTCTTACGAGTGAAAATGTAAAAAGTTTGCAAACGTTCTCCCAGCCTTTCTAACCAAGTAAAGCCAAAAGAGAAAACAACTAAGACGTCTCTAGTCGGGTGTGCACAACTAGGAGATACTACGAGCTCAGCATAGAGCTGTCTGGCACCCTAATTTTCTCAATATTCAATCATCGTTTCTAAGGCCTGAGGCATATGAAATAGTAATTTTTTTTTTTTTTATCTAGGCAGCATTTATAAAGCTTTTGGATTGTATTCAATTGAAGTGCAGGCATTCAAGCAATCTGAGAACAATATTTTGAATATTACAGAGTATTATGTCTATCCATAATGAAATATCAAACCAGATAGAAGAAGAGACATTTATTGGCTGTTAACTGAGTTAAGGCTGCCGCGCCTTCTACTGCCTGTAACATACTCATTACCAAAGCATTATAACCTGCATATCCATGGCATAAATAGTTTCAACTTACAATTTATGATAAAATAAAAAAAATAAATAAAAAATAAATAAAAAAAATATAAGTAAAACTTAAAGAGATAGATCAAGCAAAAACTCTTTAAGATTTACTTAAATTTTTTTTATTTTTTATTTATTTGACTGAATAATAAAAATGAAAAATGATCGCTTCAAATTTATAATAAAATAAAAATGAAAAATTATCGCTTCAAATTTTATTAGTCAGCTGAGAGATTTTTCTTGATCAATCTCTTCAAGATTTAAAAAAAAAAATTTTTAATTTTATTTTATTTTTTATTTATTTGATCAAAACAGAGAAGCATTATTAAATTTACAAGCTTTTCCAGCACACTTAAGAAGAAATCAATTTTCTTGTCGCAATTGGAATTTCTCATTGCTCTGAATGTGCTCAGAGCTTTGGCCAAGGATGTCTCCAGTGTCTCAGTGGCTTAGTGGCTCAGTTTCAGCTTCAGCTTCAGTTTCATTTTCAGTTTAGCGAGCTCGATTCCAGTTTTCGTTTGGAGTTTTTGGCCGTTGTCACATTTATTTGCAACATTTTGCATGTTGCCTTTGAGCGAAAACCGCCCGCGAGCGCTCACGTAGCGCTAGAGACTAGAGACTGGAGAGACATACACAATGCGACGCTATCTCTCCCTTTCTCCCTCTCTCTCTCGCTCTGTCGCTCGCACTCTCTTTCTCTTGCGCCGATCTCACGTTGCGGCGCGTCGCTTTGTTGGCTTTACCTGCCGCATTTTCCACGAGCGCGGCTCAGTTTGTGGGCGCCTGCGCGCATGTGCAGTTAGTTTTTGTCTCTGGCATCGATCGCTTGGCTAGCGGTAAAAGAAACATATATTTTTATTTGTATATATACGATCAACGAGATACGAGATACGTGGGTGCACCTCAGCGAGCCTCCATCCGTGCCGAATTACCAAAAAAAAAGAAGAAAACAAAAACATAAATAGTGCTAAAAAAAATCAAATAAAATTAAAATAAAAACAAAAACAAAGAATCGAGTGCAAAAAGTTTCTAAAATCGAATTATATATATTTTCGTAGTTCTTTTTTTTTTTCAAGTGCTATTTCATTTCATCCAGCATCAAAGTGATCTTAACATAGATAAAAGTAAATAAGAGAAACATCGAGTGTTCTTAGTTGTTTTTTTTTTTTTTACCTGTCCTGCGCGCAGGATCTATCAATCGATCAATCAGCGTACTGTGAGCCCCAGCCCGTCCCAGCTCGCACTTGAGACTTTTCCTGGGAAATTTGGTGTATGCATTTGCTGCGCCGACACTGATGATGGTAAGTGTGAAAATGAAAACTGGAAATGGAAAGCAAATACTAGTAGTAAAAACAAATGA